ATATACAAATGTAGATATATATAATTAGATATATGGTAAATACTGTACATTTATTGTAGCTATCTTTCCTAGGCAAATGTATTCAATAAAGAAACACAGATAAGCTGGTTTTGTTTGTGAAATGCATTGGAAGTTTCCACAACCATAGCTCTTTCTCAAGTAAATATATATTCATATACATATAAGTATCTATATGTGTGAATATATGTATATTTATGTATATATTTATATACAAAAGTTAATATATTATATATACATATATACATAGTTCTTAGATTACCCTATCTTGTATACATTTATTTTGAATGATAAGCCATAGGTTATGTGAGATGTAGTACAACATGTCTATTCCATTGCACATGTATTTACCAAACGTTTAACTTCTTCATACATTTTTCTTAGTAATAGAATTTCATATGGATTTTGTTAGCAAGAAAAATCCAATAAAATCATTGGTCAATTTTATTTGATTGAATATGATACATATGAGATATACTCTGGTGTCCGTAGCCTCGGTCAGTGATCAAGAGAAAATGTGTACAAGTTAAAAGAATTGAGTACCAAATGATAGTACAAGAAATGTTCAGCAATGATGAATTAATGTCGAAATTTATAGTGTTAAAATAAGATATTTACTGATATTGTAGCCATTTCATCTAAAAGGATATGCTATGATATACAAGGCATGGGGGCAATACTGATGAAGATGGTTGTGGTGATTGGGTTAATAATGCTGATGATGATAGTGACAATGGTGATAGTATTAATGTTTAAAATGATGATAATTTCTGTCATGAATTTGTACAGTCAGAACTACAAGATGGCTTTTTAACACCAAACTATATAAGTTCAAACTGTCTGGTGACTTAAAATTATTCCGGTTTGCATCATGAATTATATACATTTTATGATGGAAGGGAGTGGGGACTATTGCTCCATATAACGAGGAGGCCTTCTTTCCTAGATTAACCAGTGTCATAATTTCAGTACTGTACTTGCTATATGGTCCAGCTTGATGTATCTAATGTGTATATGTTGATTTTGAAGTGTCATCGATAATGAGAATGATTAATATTTTGTTAAAAATATATTATATTTACATTGTAAGCCTAATTATAACAAAAGTTTAATGTAAATATCAAATCAATTTTTGTCACCTATAAATGTGATAATAATTTTGAGGGCAGCAGTTAGTCATGACATTTGGCCAATGTTATTAGTGAAATTGAATAAACTTATATGAAAAAAAATGTTATTGTTATGATTTGAGAGACTTTTCCAATTTTACTAAAAGTTATTCTCAGTAGCAATTTTATTTTGGGTGGATCGAGATAGGGGGTAAAACATGTCACCCTCTCCACTTCCCCCTTCTATTGTATAACAACATTTCACACAACAGGAGAAAGTCTCACTCACACAATTAATTACCTATGTCGTTAAATAATAATTAAACGAAAAGTTACCAATAAACATAAAGATTTAGAACAGATTAACATAACATGACTAGTTGCTGGTTGCTGTGAATCAGAGTTTCTATAATTGTAAAATTGATGTGGATGTATTTAAATAATTTAAGTAGTAAATTCATTACCTGCTCTATGCAGAATATTAATTTTTTCAGTACACTGAAAATATAAAGGAAGTCAACGAAGGAAAAAAGAAGATGCAAATATAGGACGAAGTACTGTATTCTTTATTTTATTCTTTAGGGCACTATAACAACTCCCTGGTTATGGTTTTTTCCATTATTAAAAAAGTTGCTTGATGGGTTCACGATAGAGGGCGTTGGTTGATAAATATTGACCTCGTTTGTTTATTCATTCGATTCCTGCTGGGTACTGTTGCTTATTATAGGCTGCTGATCGGGAAAAAAACGCTTTATTTCAGTTTGGTAAGGCAAACATTTACTGCTTCATAAGTATAATAATGATTTAGTAATTAAGTAGTACTGACTAACTATCGTCCTCCCATAGGCTCCTAAGAAATACCTAGGCCTAGTGCAATCCAGGCTAGCCTAGCTTCTGCATGTCCGTTTGGTGTAACTCTGCATGCCTAGCAGAAGGTTTCGCAGGTCAGAGTAGGCTACTCTGAAACAGGCCTTCGCCGCCGTAGTTCGGCGGCCTAAGAATTGAAGTCTCTACGCCTCTAAGCTGTACCAAAATTAAAGTTTCTTTCAATTTATGACCTTGTCAATTATAGTTCCCCCCCCCCCCGATATAATATAAAGCACTAGCCTAGCCTAGGCCTATAGGGCCCCCTAGTGATAGGCCTAGGCCTAAATTCAAAGCATTTATTAGATATGGATACCATTTAAAACCGTATTAAATATTAAAAAAACACCATCTGAATGGATGTAAGGGAATTCTACTTTTAAAAAAGGAAGTGGATATATTTACGTCGCCGTAAACAAATCAGTAAACGATATATTTACGTAAATGAAACAACGCATGTGCAGTCATACTTTAATAAATTTGCATTATCGGTCACGTAAATTTATCGATTCACATTAAATGTACGTTAACGCGGAGCTCAACTTTCATACTCCAAATTAGCATCGGCCTTTTACTGAATGCTGTAGGCTACCATAAATCCACGGTGCATGAAAATCAAATCTTCAAACATGGACGTGTTTATTATAGTCATGTTAAAATGCATTAACTTGACACAACAATTTTTCTTGTAAAAACAAATGGTTTCTACTCTTTAAAAAGCCATTGAACAACACACGATCGAATCGACGGCAAATCAATGCACATGGGGAATCCCCAAATTGGTTGTATGAATTTTTGTAAACAGTTTAGACTAGCGGATAGGTACAGTATTTAAATTATAATTTTACCGTTCTTACTAAACGTAATTAAATTTACTACATTAGTAGCCTATGTATTTCAATTAAATAAAATAATTGAATGATTGTGATAATGAGCTAGAAGTATTCGTTTCACTTTCTCACATCATGACCACAACGTCGAGTGTGGCTGTTCATTCCACGTTCTGCATCCATACTTTCGTAGACACATGCACAGCATGCCAATGTTGTTTTGTTCGTGATCAGACTACATGGGAAAATATGTTCGAATAAAACATAAAAAAATATTTGTTTTGCCTTACCAGGGAGATGTATTTTATGTATTTTTTACATCTCCCTGGTCTCACTTTTTCATAATGATTAAATATCTTACAGAAAACACGCATATTATTATTCGTTGTTTACTTCTTGCTTCATAGCGTAGTACTTTGTAGAGTGGATCATGTGCTCTCCAAACGGGGTCTTGCTGTATGATCTTCGCGATCTATCGGGGCTCTGCTCGACCCGACTAAAGACTATAACGATGTTGTTTTTGTTATTGACGATGTGGGTAAATTTGTTTGAATGAAAACATTAAGATGTTACATAATTTGTGATGATTGACTATCGTATAACAATACAGGTAGGCCTAGAAGAATATCGTCTTGATTTCGTGGTAATTGAGTTTTAGCAAGGAAACTTCGCGTAGGCCTAGGCCTTGTATTTAGTTCGTGTTCATTCAACAAATGATTGAGAAAAATGAACATAACATTTCCAGCTCATAATATCACTTTTATTTGAAAAGTTAACACAATGATTTAATAATTTATTTAGTGATTAAACTACATACTGTGCTGTTGTAGAAAATTAAATTACGTTTAATAAAAAATAAAAAACAAAATTATAAATTAAGTAGTGCTGTGGTGAACTTGGGTGAATCCCCGCGGCTTAGAGGCCACCCAGTGCTGAAAATGCAAGTTTATTAAAGTATGACTGCGCATGCGTTGTTTCATTTACGTAAATATATCGTTTACTGATTTGTTTACGGCGGCGTAAATATATCCACTTCCTTTAAAAAACGACGTGTTTACGACGAGTTGTGGAAGTAGCCACCGATGCTATTCTTACGACGATCAGTAGTGCATGCGCGATTAGCGTCCTTCGTTGGGGAAAATTGAACGGAACGCATCGTGAATGTCTAAGCTTAGAGAAAGGCCACACAGGCTTGGTAGAGGCCAGTTATTCTAAGCAGCGTATTGCTAGGGGTTCTACACGGCTAGGAGTGAACTAAGCCTACAATTTAAATTTTGTTCATGAAAAGACAAATTAAAAATTCATTAATATGTATTCCTAGGGCCGGCCTCTCCAACATAGGAAGTTAAACATGAACAATTAATGTATAGCCTAGGACCTCCCCATAACAGGCCGTTGGCCTACAAATGTATGTCAATCCCAACTCAACGGCGGGTATTTCAATTCTAATGCTGGGGCTATTTTATATACTTTTTTATCTGAATTTAATCAGTGGACCTTTCACTTTCTAAGCATACTGTATGTCACATCAAGCTTCAGGGATGTACAATAGGCCTACAGTACATTGTTAGTATATAATTATAAGTAGTAATTTTATCAATTTCCGAATGCTTCATAATGTAAGACCAAGTGTTTTGTTACGATATTAAATTAATTTGTTAAATCAAATATACGTTTAATATTTATATCTGATTTTTGTAAAACACTATGTAATATAGTTACAGTAACAGAACATTTCATATGTTTGTTTTCAAGGCTAGATTCAAGATAGTTTCATCATATTCATCTGTTGTTTTCTGGCTATTTAGAAAGACTACCTGTAGGCCTATGTACTGTACATTATCATCCTAGTCCAAATCTCAAATATTGTTTGAATTCTGGATCGATATAGATAATATTAAATTATTATTTTTATTTATCCATACAGATGAAATTGAAATGGATTGAAAGCTTTAAAAATGTTAATGATATTCTAACAAAATCTAACAAACAACGTCCTGTTTGGGGCCCTAGGCCAGCTACAGATTCATTAATTTTCCATGTTTAATTTCCTATGTTGGAGATCAGCCCTAGTAAGCTACACATTAATTATTTTTTGTTTTTCATGTACAAAATTTAAATTGTAGGCTTTAAATGATTTACGCTAGTCCACTCAAGCCGTGTACAGTAGTTCAGATTCAGATTTATTGATCGATCATATAAAATACATGACATTTGTTTTCCTGAGTTGTAATACTGTACACAAAAAGTTCATTAAAATATAAGTACACAAAAACATTCAGCTGCATAAAAAGTAAATGCATTACATACATCATAATATAGAAAGTATAGATATAGTTTACTCCTAGCTAGCCCCCTGTGCGTAGGCTAACTGGCTTCTACCAAACTTGAGCTGTGTGGCCTTTCTCTAGGTCTAGAGACAGTCGTTCCATTCAAGTTTCCCCCGACGAAGAGGCTTATCGTGCATGCGCCACCCATCGTCGTAAGAATAGCATTGGGGAATATTTGACTTATAAAAAAAAAATCATGGTTCATAATTGTAACCCATAGCTTACATTTTCAGATAGGACTAATACTGTAAGGTAAATTAAAAATTAAAATTAGTAAAAATTATTAGACTCATCAACATGATTATCCATCTCAACAGAAAATGATATTAGGGCCTATTAGCCTACCAGACTAATTAATTGGATCACTAAGAGTATTATTTAGTACAGTAAGCCTACCATATGTATTACTGTATATTGATATTATATTCAATACATATAGGTAGGTCAATACATAGGTATGCATAAAATGAACATACAGAGATGAACCTTGTTATGTATACGTAAATTATTTTCCGATATCTTAATATATTATAAGTCAATTTTAAAATTAGAAAAATTGTTGGGTGGGCCCAGACTACAATTGACAAGTGCATTATGGAGGTGGTGTAAGTTAGATTGCAATGATTTTGACAAGGTTTAAAAACAGGCTGGCCTTGCAATTTTAAACAAGGTTTAACTTATATCACATGTTGATTGCAAATTTGAAAAATGTATCTTTTACATGGGATTACTGCAGTTCCCTCCTACAAATTTAATGAATGCTATTTGATCAATTATGGTCATTTAAAAGCCACATTTTAAGAAGAAAAAGAACTTGCATTGTCTGTTTACTACTATTATTATTAAACATAAAAAAATACAGGTATCCAAGGGTAGAATGTACATATTTCCTAATATTAAACATAACATTGAATTGAATAGTGGCCACTTAGTAATATAATACAAAGCTTTTTCATGTAGCAGATAACTTTATGTTTATTATTGAGTTTAAATTATTTCAGCCTCTGAAGGTTCTTATACAGGTGCACAAGAATGGTAGTGTATGAACCGAATGCCAGTCATTATGAGTTACTCTCAGACATCGGTAAGTAATTACTGATTATCATCACATGAACACTCATTTAGCAGGTTAAGATGCTTGTCTCCAATCCAGTTAGGTCCAAGTTATGTTGTCATCATTTTTTCATTTTTTTAAATAGAACCTGTGACAGCACCAGAAAATGCCCTATGGTGGTACCTAGGGCACTGACTGAGGGTCCACCATTTTAAGTATAGACCCTCTAGATCCCCAAGAAATGGCACTTATCAGACTGTAAAACTGCTTTTCAAATTAAATTAATTGTTTCTTCACAAACAGGGTCTTCAGAATTCTTGGATTTGGGCAATTTCATGGTAGCGGAATCACTATTTTGCTGAACTTTTTAACTTTAATCTAATGTCATATTTACACTCCATTCTAATTCTTGGAATAATTATCATATTTACATAACTATGGAATCCATCTATAATTTCCACTCTAGTTTTTTTTAAAAACCTATCACAATTTTGATATAATATCAAAAAATATGTATGGTAGCGGAAAGACAAAAAAAATACCCTCTATTTTTACCACTTCACATTTTACTAAAACCCTCTGATTTATGAAAGTGATTTAAAAATTGAATACATCTCAGTTAATCATAATTTAGTGTAGTATTGAATGCAAAACATTGATTTTTAAAAATGTTTATAGTTCTGGAGATATTTATAAAAATATAAGACCATGTCTGGTGGCGGAATCACAGTAGCGGAATGACCATTGATAAAAGTGCATTTGAAATTAATATTTTTGAAGAACCTTCTTTACTAAATGTAAAATCTTTCACTTTTTATGAAAACAATGGTGAAGCAATTCACTTGGTATTTGAAACAAAATTTATTTTACTTTATCAAGTCTCAAACACAATTATAAAAATTATGAAAATTAATAAAAATATTGGATTGTTTATACTGTAATTATCAAAACACAATAACATTATATTTTTAGTCCAGAGTTTGCCTATCTATACTTAAAAACATTCTGAGAAATTTAGTTGTTTAATTATTTAACTTAATCAAATATATAATATCATTTATGAATATGATTATAGGGGCGGAATGACAGTAGCGGAATGACATTGGAATATTGCTATAATTTACTGGTGATTCTTAAGTATATTCAAGCCCGTAGCCAGGAATTTGGTAGGGGGGTTCTTTTTGATACTGAAAGGGCACTTGTGAGCACCATTGGCTGGGGCCAGTGGGGCCGACAAGGCCCCCCCCCCCCGGTGGGTCGAGGGCCAAAACCCCAGTGGGGTCCAGCATTCTAAGCATTTACAGGTGTTATTTAATTGATTTGAGAGGCCATACATTAAAAAAAATGTATATATTAAAGAGGTAATTTTTTGAGTTGGGAAAAGATAAAAAACAAAAAAAAAAACTACTATTTTAGTACTACAGTATTGGTAATTTAACAACAGTAGCATGATACAAACTCCAAAGAATCCAGTAGGTTTATTCTTTATTTTTTATTAGCACCGAGACAAATTTGTATGGTTGGTTGTAGCGTATTATAATCATATAATATATATATACACAGGTGAAACTATCCCCCGCCAGACACCATCCCGGTATTTCTGAGTCAAGGTTTCGGGGCCTGAATTTTTTATGTTACTAGGTAGGCCTAACAATTGGTATTAAAGTAGGACTTTTAATGATGATAGGCTCTAGGCTAGGCCTAAAGTGTAGGCTAGCCAGCCTTTGTTGAAAGGGCACTTCATGAAAGGAAAAGAAAAGGGGGGTTCGTTCGAACCCAACGAACCCCCCTGGCTACGGGCTTGATATTAACAACACACAAAAGCAGCATGTGAATTTTCACAAAATTACAGATGTTAATGGTCAATCTCTGTGTACATGGAAGCATTAAAACCTCACAAAGCATCAGTTCTCTGCAGCAGTTAATGGCATTTTGGTACTCGTGCGATCTCAATGATAAAAAAATAACAAGTGATGCAGTATTCTTTAAGATGCATAAGAATACATTTGTCACTGGTTTGTGAGCCAATAGCAAGCACTTAAAATTAGTAGGTGGAGTAAAAACCAACCATACAAATTTAAATAAGTTGTTTATTATAAGTAAATTTATTTGATTAACAAGTACCTCTTTGAAGCAAAACTCTAATGTAGAAAGTTTATTGGAAGTTTCTGAGAAAAGTACACCTCGCCCTTTTCCCATACCTAAACTTGCATTTGAACAACAAAGTTGATCCAAGCTTTAA